CCTTGGGTAATCTGTTCTCAAGAACTTGCAAATGGACCTCAGATTGGCATGCCACCCATCATTTAAAATCCAAGGGAAAAAAAAGTTGACTTCCAAGTAAAGACAAGAAGATAGAAAATAAATTAAGTTTAAAATTTTAGTTAGACTAGAGAAATAAGTTCAGGACACAGTGATAATAGTTAACAGCAATGTATTATGTGCTTGAAAATTGCTAAACGAGTAGATTTTTAAGTATTGTCACCACAAAAATTATAAGCGTGTGAGGAAATGGGATATGCTAATTAGCCTGATTCTGTCATTCCATATTGTCTACATATATATCCAAAACATCATGTTGTACCACATAAATATATACAATACTATTTGTCAATTAAACATAAATAAAATAAATTGATGGTAAAGTATATAAATTCTTTATTAATAAGAATTCTTGAAAATGTTTGTCCCTAGGCAATCTCAGTGCACTAAATTGTGCACACGCACACACAGGGAATGCAAAATGCCATTTGAGTTCAAACTGCATTTGGTTAAAAGCAGTAAAATCTAAGTGTGAAGTATCGAGGAATCAGAAAAAGCGTCTACTGAGAGGATGCAGAGATAGTCATAGTTTTAATCTTTACAAGAAAAAAGCCAGGCCAAAAGTGAGATAGGGAGAGTGAGAAAAGTGCAAACTAATGGGGCTGGTTAAATTCATTTTTCAATAATTCATTTAGAAACGAGTAGCAGAACAGAGCCCGAGAAATCTGAAAATGTCAAGAAGAGTGACCTATTAAATGACTTTGAACTGTTATCCAAGGTCAGGAGAAACAGTAGCTTGAAACCGTGCACATCCTGGCTCCTAGGTTCCAATTTTAACAACTAGATGATGTGCCCTGTTCTTCCAGGTGCAATCTTCATTCACTGAGGAATGAAAAGGAAACAAACCCAGAGATAAACAAATTTAATCCAGATTATCTTGGCTTTACCTGTTAAAAGGCATTTGTTTAGTAGAAGTAGCAGTGACTGTGAATTATTCAAAGCCCATATCCTTCCCAACTTTAAGGATCTTTTAAAGCTAGGTATAAAGATCATTAATAATTGATAAAGCATTTGTAAACCCTTAGCAAATGAACCGTCAAGGGACACATTAATAAAACATCTTTTAAAATCTCCGTCTCTCGGCTGATTCTCATCACGCTGTCCCAGAGCAGAGTAAACCGGGATGCTTATCTTGCAGCTGCTGCTATCGCCCAGATGTCTAGCAAGGTGAGACAGAAGACAGAGGGCAGGGCCTTTTCGGAAACCAATGCCATCTTTCACACAGGTATCCACACACCTCCAACTGATTCACAGCTTAGAACCATTCCCTAAGTAAATAAATCTGTAGCCAGAATTTTTCGCTGGGTCACTAAATATAAATGTATAGATGGACTTTTTGACGTTTCTGTTTGCAAAACAAAACATCCAAGTCCCTAGGGGAATTGAAGGGTTAGGCATTTAGGAAGAGCCAATGAAAGTGTTCACTTTGAGGTCACTGTTCATATTCAGCTCAGGCTAAAGGAGCGGTCAGGGTCACTGAACACCACAGCTTTGAGGCAGTCAGGTGGCTTAGCTCATCTTATTCTTACCAGTTAATGCAAAAGCCTAAGGTTGTGAGTCTAGGAATAAGTAAGTTAGGTAGACGGATGGACAATAGAGCTGAGATCCAGTCCACTTCTTTCTGTCTCCATGTTAGAGACATAATGCATGTAGAAATTAATGTTTTTGTTCAAAAGTAATTAAATGGATTCAAAGTCTGTACCTTTTGTATTATTTTTGGTTCTTTTGCATAGTCCATGAATGCTGTACCTTCACATCTTGGTTATTGGATTCCGATTGTAGTTTTACCACCTTAAATGATTACCAAGGTTTAGAGTTGGCGTTTGCTAGGTTATTCATTGTAGCCATGATTTATGTAATACAGAATGAATGGCAAGGAGTATAACATCCAGTGGTTCCATTGTCATTAAAGGGATGGATAGTAAAATGCAGTTTCTCAGAATCACACACACAAAAAAGTCAAAGCTGGAGACAGAGTTAGAAATCATCGTCTAAAATCCTCTCATTTTACATGAGAAAACTTTAGCACGAGTTCTTGAGCACAGCAGGGTCTTGTCATCAGTCACTGAGTTATGGATGAAGTTAGTAGCAGGGATGAGATTAGAGCAGATCTCCTATCTACAGACACCATACTCTCCCAATGCCTCGCATCCATGGTGTTTTCTGTTACTCTCTGAGTACAAACTGGAGTGTCTGTTCAGGAGCAGGGGAAGCAGCCATCTCTTGTGACATCTTTTGTGCCTCCATTTAAGTATCCCTGTGTATAAAGTTGTCCTTCCTCTTACATGTCTTCTTCAGGGTAAGTTGCCTATGGGCAGAGACATGATCTGGTTCGCTCTGCTTTCCCTCAGCACTAAGCACACTATTGCTGAGAGATTGGACCTTGAGTAGTGTTTGCTGGATGAACCCATGGCCAAATAACCCTACTTTCTTTCTCTCCTTAGGTAGGGAGGAATGGAAATGTTTAAAAATATGTAATATTTGGCTTGACAGAGGGGTGAATAAAAAACATCTGAGTGAAAAGCAGTGTTGCTCCATCAGAGGCAAAGAATGAACCCCCTAAATGGTGGCCCAGCCAAGGGAAATAGGTTGCTTATGGTAGGGGATGTGTCTTGAGGGAGTGGACACCTAGAGATGGAAACATTCAGGTTAGTTTGACATATCTTTGAATTTTTTTTTATCTTTGTAAACCAAAGTTCTGAAGTGTATCAGGGCTCACAGCCAGGCTTTCAGTATGAATAATGAACTTAAATGAGGCCTTTTGTGTTGATGATCTGATGATTCATTCTAATGTAGCCATCATTTTGGGATATACTGAGAAAAAATACAGAATGTGTTCAGGTGGCATTTTTGATTCATGACCTTTCTTTTATAATTTATTATTCTGAGGTATTCCATGTGAAAAGCAAATAGTTTGATACCAAGTGATAGATTGTTTTTCTTCAGTGTGAAGAAAGCCATGTTGACAAACCTGGAGGAGGGACTAACAGTGCGAGGGGAGAAATTTCTCTCCTCACGATCCATCAGGAATTGGGGCTGACTCCGAAAATGAGACACTCTTTGTATAAAAGAATTATTTGTTGAAGCCTTCTATTCCTTTAATAAATAATTTTAAAGACAAGCCTAATTTAATGTCAAGGCCTTGAATAAGCACAGCGGAGGAGTCACAAAGTGGAAAACAGGCAGAAGTTGTTTGGGAGAGACAAAGCATGTTACCGGAAATGACTCAAGAGTGGTGAAAAGGCCTCATAATAAATGCACACTAAAGTCAAGCAAAAAAATGAAGGGAAAAAGAAGCTATTATAGTGAGAGAGAATTTATCAGGAAAGACTTCAGAAGAAAACCAAAGACATTGAAATTAAACTGAATTCAGGCATTTGCAGAAAGCTGGGCTCTGGAAGATCAGGTGTGTTGATGTAGTTGCAGAATCTCTGCTGTCCTGAGATGACTAAGAATTCCAAACAGACAGTAGTGAAGAGAAGAGAATTATAAAACTGTACTAAGGACCGGGAGCAGTGGCACATGCCTGTAATCCCAGCAGAGGAATCTGGGAGGCCAAGGTAGGTGGATCAGCTGAGGTCTGGAGTTCAAGACCAGCCTGGCCAATATGGTGAAACCCCATCTTTACCCAAAATACAAAAATTAGCTGCACATGTTGGCTGGTGCCTGTAAACCCAGGTACTCGGGAAGCTGAGGAAGAAGAATGGCTTGAACCAGGGAGGTAGAGATTGCAGTGAGCTGAGATTGTGCGATTGCACTCCTGCTTGGGCAACGAGAGCGAGACTCTGACTCAAAAAACAAAAAAAAAAAAACAAACAACAAATCAAAACAAAATTTAAAAAGTGTTCTAAGGATATTTTAAAAGATCCAAGTAAATGGAAAAAAAATATTTCATGAAGAAAAACATTGTGATAATAAAAACTCTACCCAAGTTTGTCTATATATTCAAACCAATTCTAAAAAATTCCTTAAAGCCTTTTATGAACTCGATTCTGGAAGACCAAACACCAACAATAGACAAGAACTTGCTCTTCTTTTCAAAAAGAAGCAGAAAGGGGTTTCTGCTTCATGAGATATTAGTACTTTTAATAAAGAGATTGTAATAGCAAAATATGTATTTTACTGACATGGCATCTTTCTTCTTGGCAATGAAGAGCAGTGCAGGCCCAAGAAGAAACCAGCAATTAGCATATCAACCTGTCACTGCCCTTGGACAGAGCAGGGGTTGTCAAGAAACCTCAGTGTAAATAAGATCAACAGCAAGGATCAGGAATCAGAAGGAAGCATTTTCTACAACCCTATAAAGAGAACTACCCACGTGGGGTGTAACTAGAGGTTACCCAGTATGCATGTACTCATCAGGTGATTTGTCCTCATGTCAAGGCACAGAATAGTAATTTTAGGGATAGTGAACAATTTTGTCATTAGTATTACCCCAAACATTTATGGAACTCCAGCTAGGTGAATGACTTTGTTGGCACTGAGTGTATAATGATATTATAAGACCCAGTCTGTGCTTTCCTGATGATATCACTCTAATTATGAAGGTAAAATTTGTAGGTACACAGAGAAATTATTTTTCAAGGTGGCACAAAATTTCAAGGTATCAGAGTAGAAACAATTTTACAGAAGTACTGAGATGAGATGGGTATTTTAAGGGTGTACAACTGATATAATTAAGGGCATTATAGAATACTAAAACAGAGATTTTCTTGAGTCCTATACATTTTGGCCTAATTTACTTAACACTGTGTCCACTTAGGGTCCAATCTGTCAGATCAGTTCTGCTTCATCCAAAGGAAGGAGGGAGCCTTTTCTTTGCAGGAGCGCCAGTTGAGATGCAGACTTTATATAAATATAAATAAATAAATATATATATTTTAACAAAAACAGATTTTTAATCAATACAATTACAATGTTGGTAATACATATAGTGATATTTATAGAGCACTAGGCCAGAAACTACGAAAAATATGTTTTCAATGAGGCCTCATTTAATGCACACAGCAGCTGCTGGGGTGTTTATAACCACTGTTTTGCTGCCGCCTTGAGGGGTCAGTTGGCTGCCCTGAGGCACACAGGTGGCAAATCACAAAGCTCGGGCACCTAAGCCAGTGCTTGTCGATGACACTCTGCCCAATGGCATTCACCGCACATTTCCATTTTCCAGTGGGATGTTTGACCTATCTTGAGTATGTCAGATGGGTTACACCATTTCCGGAGCCACTGGTTTTTCGCATTTACTCATCAGGGCGGCCTCAGTGCTGCTCCAAGCCAAAGGATGTAGAAAGAGCCTCTGTGTAACTTTAGGGATGAGTGATGGAAGCATCCAGTTACTACAAAGCATGCTGCCACAGATCTCAGGATAATCTGCAGGTGGGCAGGAAGTGCCACTTTCTCACGGTGGAGGGGAGTGACTGTTCTGCCTTTCTTCCAATACATTAAAATTGTCATTTGACTTTTATGAGGTCCCTACATTTGTTGATCTGCAAGTTTCTTCACGTTTTATTGTTGCAAGATATCTACATGCAAACATTCTTTATATCTATATGGAATTTTGTTCTCTTGCCCAGGCTGGTGTGCAAAGGTGCGATCTCAGGTCACCGCAAGCTGTGCCTACTGGGTTCTAGTGATTCTCCCGCCTCAGCCTCCCGAGTAGCTGGGATTACAGGCACGCGCCACCATGCCCAGCTAATTTTTTGTATTTTTAGTAGAGACGGGGGTTTCACCATGTTGATCAGGATGGTCTCGATCTCTTGACCTCGTGATCCACCCGCCTTGGCCTCCCAAAGTGCTGGGATGGCAGGCGTGAGCCACCGTGCCCGGCCCTAATTTTGTATTTTTAGTACAGATGCAACCGGTTTCTTCCTGTTGGTCCGCTGATCTTGAACTCCTGACCTCAGGTGATCCACTCGCCTGGGCCTCCCAAAGTGCTGGGATTACAGGCGTGAGCCACTGTGCCTAGCCATAGATATCAATTTTTACTCAATTCTTGGTGTGGTCAAAAGCTAAGGGGCGGGCAGGATGAGGGGCCCAGCAGCCACATGGCTAAAGTCAGAGGTAGGAGGAGTTGGGATCTGTGACAGGTAGGTGGCCTGGGGCAGGGAGAGCAGGTGGGGAGACATTGGGGCAGGCGGGCTGGCATTGCAGTTTACTGTAATTTCTTCCCATGTTTCTTTTTCAGTCTCCTGGATGATGTTGTTCGACTTGACTTGCCGGTGTCCATGAATCCTTTCACGGATCGGCGGGGACGTTTAACGGGTGGGGGCCCCTCGTTTCTCCCCCACCTCCATTGCTGCGGAGGGACCAGTCGCAGCTGCTGGGGTTGCACTAACCATTTTGGTTGTCGCGAACTGCGGCTGGCAGCCCTTGGTTTAGAAGGACCCTTTGTGGCAACAGCTGGAGGATCCTTGTGCTGGGTCGCCTCCCACTCCATCGGCTTGGCTGAGGAGCTGGGCTGGTGGTCTTTCCCCAGTACCAGAGAGGCCGCCTTGTCTGGCCAATGGGAGCAGCCGGGAACTGGGCCAGGGAGCGCTGCTGGAGCTGGGTCAGGCTTCCCAAAGGGAAGGACGCCTCCTGCAGGGGTGGGTGCGCTGGGCACTCCAAGGCCCTTGGGATGGAAGCAAATAACATAAGTTAAACATATTAACACACTGTAATCATTGACATTGTGATTCATTTCTGTCAGGTTTCCCTTATACCTCCTTAAGGTCCTGGGACTGCAGTTGAGGGAAGCGAGGTTTCCCTGAGTCTCCAGGGGCCTCGAGGTGGGTGCTACTCCCGCATTGCTACAGGGGCCCCCTTTCTCCTCCTGCCCCTGGGTCTCTACCTGATCGTCCACCTCCATCGGTTCTTCACCCTCTTCTGCTCTCACCGCCGTCTTCAGGATCTCTACTTGATTGTCCACCTCCATGGGTTCTTCACCATCTTCTGCTCTCACCGCGGTCTTCAGGATCGGGGCCGGCACTTGCAGGGGAGGCAGTCGGAGTGGAAACGTTAGGCTTGGAGGAGGGATCTTCACGGGTCCCTCGCGTGCGAAGTGGCGTAGCACGGGTTTCTTCCTTGAGGGCGGGCTCCAGGCAAGAGGAGGCAGGTCCCGCAGTAGGGCGCTCGAGTTCCTGGTGAAATTGGAGCTCGATGGAAAATAAGGCCCAAGACCTCGCGGAGGGAACAAGAGGAATCGGGAACCTTGTAGGGCTCGCGGGGCAGGCACATGCACAGGAGCTGCGGGGTGAAGCCGGCCAGCCGAAAAGTCCGCATGGACAAGAGGAGACCGTCGTGGTTGCCACCGCTGCCAGACCCTGTGGCAGATAAAGGAAAACAATTTGCTTAGGGAATTTCCCATAGCATACAAGATGCGCTCGGACAAAAGTCAGAGTAAGAAATGGAGAGGGTACTCCTGAGTCACCCACTAGTCTGTGGGTGGGCAGCTGGGCTCTTATGACATCACAATGGGGCTGGTGACAGAGCAGGGTGTGGGGCAGTGCACAGGAGCCCAGCGAGGGCACCTACAAGTGGAGTCAAAGGGCAAAGGGCAAAGGGCGGGGCTTCCCATCCGTCCAGCTGGACCCAGGGGGCAGGTGTGTGGCCCTGAATGGGCCCCACTGTGGGGCTGTGGGGCATGTGGGGCTGATTTGCCAGAGCCCTTCCCACCTGGTGCCTGGCCCAGGCGCTGGCTGGCACCCAGTGGCCATGTCTTGGCTGGCCTTGTCCCCTGGGTTACAGGGCCAGACCCTGCTGGAAGCAGAGTGCAGGACTAGCCAGAGTTTATATTTTTATATATTTTTTATATATTATATATTTGTAAATATATATTTACAAATATATATATAATATATGTAAATATATATTATATATAAATATTAAATATATTTATATTAAATATAAATATAATATATTTACATATATTATATATATTTATAAATATATATTTGTAAATATATAATATATAATATAGAAATATTTATAAATATATTTATAAATTATATATTTTTTTATATAAACAATTACTTGGAAGGAATCCCAGAGTCTTTCGTTCATCTTTAAAAAGAATAAACTTTTATCCTATAGTTGAACAGTAAAGTGTTTAAACTTTATCTCATGCTGTGTAGTATATGTCCTACTCACATTACAGACCCAGCATCTAAGAGTGTTAGGTTGCATTTAGTGTGGTGTTAGCCCAAAGGATCCCATGTTCTTCGTCGATGTAATGCTATTTTGCTGAAGAGAAAGAATATGCAATCAACAAAACATGGACAACTTCAAACAATAAAAATATGAATGAGCCATCAAATACAGCACTTTTCTTAAAACTTAAAATGACCAATGAATTGTGTTTGTCAAGAAAGGCAATTTTGATAAATGGAAAATTGACCTCATAACAATATTTCAAGTTTTTTTTTTTTTGTATTTGATAAAATTGCTGCAAATTCAAGACACTGGGGGACATTTCTCTCAACTCTTCCTTTCGTGTTGAAAGAGAGAAAAAGAAAGAGAGAAATAACATTTAAAAACGTCAGAAAATGGAACGTGACAGCCACCTCTCTACAGAAAGGTAAAAAATGAACCCTTGGAAAGTTCATTCAGCGTGGTAATGATGGATTATTATGTTTCCATGTTATTAACATATTAGAGATGCCCTCATGCTTCATAAGTTAATATCTATATTTTTCAGAGTCACCTTTCCTGTTACTTTGCCTCATTAACCAACAAATACACTATGCTTCATGTATTTATTTTAAATATTTTAAAGTAAGTGAATGCACTAAGCTCTATCTATTTAGACTGTCTTTATTTAACCGCGTGGCTCACTACAGAGCTCCTCATGACCTGAAATCTCTGGTGCTAAGCTTACACTGTATTTACTTTTGCTCCCTATTGACTTTTTTGTGTGTACACTTTTCCTGTTATTTTACATGGGTAGTTTGAAAACTATTCAAGTCTTTTCCAAAGCCATTTAATTGTCCTGTTTCAACACCAGAAATACATGTTGTGATGTGGTCAGAATTTCGCTATTATCAAAATATTCTTATCCCTTGACAGAGAAAAATGGGACACATTATAAAACCTCCAGTTCCTCTGTAATATGAACTCTAATACACTGCTGCTCAGTGTCTCTTTTACCACACAAAGTTATGAATCTCCTTATGGGCAGCAAACTAACTTTCCTTTTACACCCAGGTTTTACCTGGCCCACAGTTTATCAATTGCTTCTTTTTAAAAGATCTGAAAATTACCATATAATGTCTGAAATAAACATTTTTATAGTTTAAGTTTATTGTAAAATTACATTTGAAACATTAAATTGAAAAAGTACTTCTATTAAAATATTTTTTTTCTCTTTTGATACTTAACTTTGATTTTGTTGTTCATTTTGTCCACATGTGTTTTGTCTTACGTAGAATAAATATGTTATTGTACTTCTTAAATGACCAATTCACTAGTGCCTTTAACAATTTTGAATGTTATGGATTTATACATGTGAGTCATGACAATTAACTATAACGTACTATATATAATACACATAAAATAAACTTTTTCAAATAAATATATAATTCTGATATTAGAACTCATTTTCTTCATATACTAAACCTTCTGGGAAAATAAAAAGCTGAGTACATCATTATTCCAGCATACTTATATTTTTTTGCAAGTTCATTCTTAGAAGACATGCCAAAGATATTCTGGATTAAAGCTTCACAAGCATTTCTCAGTGCTGGGTCAGTTTGATTGGATTGAAGGATGCAAATTATTGCTTTTGGATGTGACTGTGATGATGTTGCCAAAGGGGATTAACATTTGGGTCAGTGGACTGGGAGAGGCATATCCACCCTCAATCTGGGTGATCACCATCTAATCAGCTGCCAGTGTGGCTGGGATAAAAGCAGGCAGAGGAACGTGGAAGGACTAGACTGTCTGAGTCTTCTGGCCTCCATCTTTCTCCTGTGCTGGATGCTTCCTGTCCTCAAACGTTGAAAACCAAGTTCTTTAGCTTTTGGCCTCTTGGGCTTACACCAGTGGTTTGCCAGGGGCTCTGGGGCCTTCAGCCACAGACTGAAGGCTGCACTGTCAGTTTCCCTACTTTTGAGGTTTTGGGTCACAGACTGGCTTTCTTCTTGTCAGCTTGCAGATGACCTATTGTGGGATTTCACCTTGTGATCCTGTGAGTCAGAATTCCTTAATAAACTCCCTTTCATCTATCTATCTATCTTTTTTTTTTGAGACTTAGTCTTGTTCTTTTGCTGGGGTGTAATGGCAAGATCTCAGCTCACTGCAACCTCCACCTCCCGGGTTCAAGTGATTCTCTTGCCTCAGCCTCCTGAGTAACTGGGATTACACGTATGTGCCGTAACACCTAGCTAATTTTTGTATTTGTAGTAGAGATGGGGTTTCACCATATTGGCCAGGCTGGTCTCAAATTCCTGATCTCATGATCCACCCACCTTGGCCTCCCAAAGTGCTGGGACTACAGGCATGAGCCAACACACCCAGCCATACATCTATCTTATTAGTCCTGTCCCTCTAGGGCACCCTAACATAGAGCTAGATTTAGGACTCATGCTTGGGTTTGTGTAATAATGACAAGAAATCGCGTAATAAAATTCCATTGGGCTCTCCCTTGAAAATCACTATGGTTTTATGTGATTAAAAATTGAATGTAAATTAAAAATAGCTAAATCATAAATGAATTTAAATATAGTGTTCAGAAATTCCGAGGGATGATATGAATAGTTTGTGGAAGAAGAGATTCGGTTATTCAGCTACTTACTTTTGTCCAGTAGGATAGGACTTGATAAAAGAAAAACTTCAGCCAAATTAAATTTAAGGAGTTTAATTGAGCAATGCATGATTCACGAATCTTGCAGCCCCAAAATCACAGCAGATTCACAGATAATCCAGCCCAGCCACAGCCATATGGTGGAAAATTTACACACACAAAAAAGGAAATTAACGTACAGAAATTGGAAACGAGATACAGAATGGCTGGATTGGTTACAGCTCGGCGTTTGCCTTATTTGAACACAGTATGAACACTCATTGGTTTATGAATTGTTTAAGTATAGCCACTGGGATTGGCCAGGACTGACTTTTTTTTTTTTTTTTTTTTTCTGAGATGGAGTTCTGCTCTTGTTACCCAGGCTGCAGTGCAATGGCACGATCTCGGCTCACCGCAACCTCCGCCTACCAGATTCAGGCAATTCTCCAGCCTCAGCTTCCTGAGTAGCTGGGATTACAACACACGCCACCATGCCCAGCTAATTTTTTTTGTATTTTTAGTAGAAACGGGGTTTCACCATGTTGACCAGGATGGTCTCGATTTCTCGACCTCGTGATCCACCTGCCTCGGCCTCCCAAAGTGCTGGGATTACAGGCTTGAGCCACGCACCCAGCCTTGACTGACTCTTAAACTAGGTTACAGTTCATCCACATGGACTCAAATATAGAAGTACAGAGTCCTTCTCAGGGGATAGTTTGCTTTAACAGACTGTACAGTTACACTGTACAGAAACCATATCAATTGAAAATTAGTAAAAGTAACTGAGAATATATATTCTGGTTAACAATTGGGTGATTCTACCATCTTCAGATAATACCTACTGATTTATGGGAATAGGCAGAAACTACTTCTGGGAAGCTCAAAGACACAATTGAGAAGTACAAATGAGAATAACAGAAGGGCAGATTGTAGTATAAGAAAGAACTTCCTAACAACTCTTCCAGTTAAACAATGGAGCAAACTTGGGAAGTTAATGACCTTCCCAGAACTAGAAGGAATGGATGAAGAAACTTGTATTTATTAAATAACTATTATGCTGGTTTTTATAATGGGAATGTTAAATATATTACCTTTCAGAATCCCCAGAAACCCATGAAATGACTAATATTACCCTCATTTAAATGAGGAAAACAGACTCAGAAGGTTTCCCCCGATCTCAGAGCTAGGGAGTGCCGTGACTATGTAAAGCCAAGTGCATCTGACTCCAAAGTGTACAGTCCAAAAACTGTAACAAGTAGAAATGGGTTGGGTACCTACTGAAAACATATAAAAGATGTTCATTCCCTAGTTGATGACAAGTAGACTAGATAATCATTATAGTCTTTTTAAAGTTTGAAATAGTATGGCTTGTTAAGGAACAGAGGTTTAAGTTTAATGTCTGACATGCAAATTATTTTCAAGTCTACTCTATTTAACTGCCTCCAGGACTGGTTAATAATATCACTGGTATTACATTCAGAATATACAATATACTGAATATGTCACTGGTATTATATATAAAATAATACCAGATAGAAGATATAGGTATATATCACACATATGTATATAACACATACATATGTATCAGATATATACATATATATCACACATGTATTTGCTATATAATATAGATGAGATGTATATTACTAATATACACATATTTTATATATTATATGTAATAAATATATGTTATATATATATATCACTTATATAGATGATATATATATGTATACACACACACACACATACACACACACTCTCTATTACTAG